ATTCTAATCCCTTTTTTAAAATAAAGGGGGGGGGGGGGGCTGGAATTCAATTGCATTAAACATGGAAACCAAATGCCACTTGAAAGCGGCATCTGCTCTTGTTGAATGTGAGCGGGTTATGATAATAAACAACAATAATGTTTGAGATCATCTCATGCTGGTCTGATAGAGGTATTATTTCATTCTGGAGTTGTGAGCTGAATTAATGGAATTGGAGCATGTTAAGGGTCTTATTTGGGGTCTTTCTTTAGAATTTTTTTTTTTTTGGCTCTATACTATGATACAAGTTAACGTACTCAACATAAGATGATTTTAATTTGCAAACTGATAACAAAAATTTACAGAAATGTTACACGAGAACTACTCACAACAGAGAAATTTCAACTTAGGGCAATATACCTTTTGAATTTTCAACTTTGGTCCCCAATCATTTTAGCTGTTTCTGAATCCTACATTTTGTCATGGCACGTTTATGAGAGATTATTTTTCCATCAGCGTGGCAGCTCGGTCGGAATATCATTACACCAATATCCAGAATTCCTGATCGAACAAATCGGGCCCGCCAACAAATGCAGACCATTGACAATTTGCTTCGACAACTGCAAAATACGCATTGCACCTGCCAACTACGGCCATACAAGAACCCCGAGGAACAAACACCTTCTCTTCTTCGTTCTGCAACAACAAGATCTCGTGTATAGAAGATAGAAGCATTCCCGCTTAGATTGCTATTTTATAAATTTTTGTAGAAAAATATACTGTAACGATTTGATATATGTGAGATAAAAAATGGATTAAAAAATATGTTGGCGAAAGGTTTAAAGATTTTCAAATGTTAATCCAGCGATTATGAGAATTATGGTTTCGACTCTTAAGTATCTTTTCTTGTTTCCTCTTGTAAAAGTTACTATACTGTGTTTTTAAAAAAGTTTTTAAGCAAAAAATTATGTAATATTTTTTGTGATATGATATATGGAAACTAGAAAGATGGTTGTGGGTACATGTCAAGAGAATCAACCCAAGACATTCGCTGAATCTTTTTTTTATTTTTTTGGGTAAGTACATTAGCTGAATCTTTTCCTAAAACTGGTAATCCAAACAAGCAACAGCTTGCTTCGAGCCAAAAAAACATAAAAAAGAAGGGAAAAAAAACCTTGAAAACCAGCTATTTGTTTTCTTTCTCTACCTACCTTTTCTCCTCCTCGTCGATTCACATTACTTTTCTGATCTTATGCTGGAGAAGCATATCTTTATGTTAGTATAAACTATATACAAATTGTGCGTGGTAATTGCAGAATAAAAATTCTATTCTTGCGCCACTACTTTCTTTGATAACTGCTTTCCACTCCAAGAATTCCTAGCTTTCGTTCACAAAATACTTGTGAAAATATATATATATATATATATATATCATAATCAATACGTGGTGCCCGCAAAAACCAAGAATATTGGTATCATATGAAAGACATAGAACATGCATGGTATTAATAGCCAATAAAGGAAAGTGAAAGGGATGTCTCATGCATATGTCTAAAGTAATTTCATCCATTGAGAACGTTTTGGCAATTTATAAGTATTTTTGTGGTTGGGACTTGGGAGCCTAATGAAAAACTTCTTGACTGACCATCTAGAACGGGGAAAATTTTTTTCTTTTGAACACATTTTGTTTGATTATCTTTATATCTCGTACAAGTCAAAGAAAAATACGGTAACACATTGCAAAAAAAATTCAAAATCATAATTAATCCAATGGACAATTGGTTGGATAACACCGACCAAGAAAATGAGTAGCCTATCATTTTGTTCTTCAATCGTTTTAAATTGTTATTATCATTTGAAAATGATGTTACACATCTTTCTTGTTTGAAAATTCGAATAAGCACATTTAAATTTAGAAAAAAGTGAAAATTATTGAGTAGGGAAAACTTAGGTCATGTTTGATAACTCAATTCAATACTTAAACTTAATGGATCAGATTTTAATATATTCAGACCGTTTGATAAGCAAAAATTGAACATTTGAATTAAGTAAGTGGCACTGAATTTTCTAGACGAAACTTGCTCCCAAAATTATGTGATAAGCTATTCATTTATCACTGAATGTAATATGCATTCAAATGTATTAGATTTAATACTTAATAATTCAACAACTTAACGGATTCAAATTTCAGTTTTATCAAGCACATTCTTGCATTAATTGCATCTCCTAAGTAATGCATTGATCAGATGAAATTTTGTACGAAGGTCTGCTAATCTGTTTTAAGGCAGAAATCCAAAAGCAATATATATATATATATATGAGACTGAACTGATTTATTTTATTAAGTTTATCATGCGTTATCCACTTCGTCATCATTATAATTTTGAGAATTCTTTTGGCTTCCATGTTCCTTTATTCTCGTATAGACTGTGTAGACTGCTACAATAACTATCACGGCTTCAATTTTCAAAGAGTACTTGAAAAGGGAGAATATCTATGAGCTGGTATTATGGCCTGCAACTCATCAAAAGGGGTGGTATGGAATCCCATCAATCGAACGATCAAGATCAAAACGTGCATGCTCTAATTATGTGCATGTAAGGTACAGAATCATTGAAAACGATGGAGGTCCAATCAATCCACACTTACCTACATGCACTGTTGTATACGTATACGTGGAAAATTCTGTGATCCCTACATATCTAACCTCAGATATTTCAATGAGAAATAAACTAGCAATTTTGATCAGGACAGGTTTTTCAGTCTGTTTGGATTGGAAATTATACGGAGAAATGCTTTAAAATAGATTGTATCGTAGCACTTTCTATAATGTGATATATATATATGAGATAAAATATAAAATTTAATTAAAAATTATATTTACGATATAATGAAAAAAATTCTCTCAATTATGAATGAATATAATGCCCGCATACATAAAAAAAAAATATCACCGTGAATGTGGTGACAGTATATAATTAATTTATACACCTCTGGAGTAGTTTCAGAGCAGCAAGCAACATAAACTCGAGGCATGTTTCGTTAATTTTGGATTCTTTTCCTGCAGAAAAGAATTCTAAAGTATCTGTACAAATATAGGTCGTGATGGAGATATAGCACAGCTCAAGAAAGACGCAGATATGCGGGTTTTTGTGCATTTGCAGTCCCTGTGTGTAACCATCAAGAACTGTAAATTCCTTGAATTTGGAGGGTTAGGAATGTAGGGTTCAGCAGCTTGCCACCTCCCAATGGGCAACATTTACGTGTAGTCATGGTAGACCTGAATTATGGCAGCATATGGGATTAGATTTGTCTATTTTGTGAGGCTGTGTAGGATTAGGGTTTTGTGGTTTGGTATTGGTAGGCTGAATACAAACAAAAACCAGCAAAATCTTTAATTAAGTACGTAAAATATATGTAGTACAAAGAAAGATTGCTAGTAAAATCATATTAAAACGAAGCAGGAATGATGAAGATTGAAGAAGTCTGTTCTACCCGATTCTATATAATACAAGCAACTTGTGAGTAATTAAAGTGTCATTAAATAACATTTAATGCTACCTAAAGGCTAAGATATAATAATACACAGAAAACTTTAACAATGACCTTTTTTAGTTCTGATAGTTGCAGCGAACTTTAGGTGTTTTTGTTGAACTGATCCATCCATAATTTATGAGCTTTCCATTTCTTTTAGTATAGAAGAAGAAAAGTGTGTTACGAATGAGATGGAACAGAAGCAAGATAGATGAATGCTGTAGTAGTAGCGGAGTACTTCGTATAAAAAGTTATAGGAAAAGGAAATAGAGAATTAATAATGCAAGGTAATTCCAAGAGATGCATAATCATTTTCTCCACCTACAAATCAGTGGAGGAGGACGACTGCATGAGATTCTCTGAATTCCCTGTAGGTTCTCAATAATAATAACACTAGAGTTTATTCTTTCTTTTTTCTGAAGTTTTTATCAAGTTTTCTCTGACTTGGTCAAAGCTTGTTAAGTTGTTTTCACTTGCTTCTGCAACTTCTTGTTATTAATGAAAGCTACAGTAAAGTAAAGATTCTCGTAGTTTTTTGCTGGACGTACTCAATAATAATTATATCCTCACTTATATTAACTAGACTAGAGGGGAATAGTAAATGAGAATAAGAGGATCAAAATATTGAATTAATTGTTTTTGAAATATTTTACTGTAACAGTGCGTGTGAAAAAATTTTACTGTAAATTTCTTTGAAATATTTAATATATTGTATAGATGAGATTTTTTTTAGTTATTTTTATTTGTGTATTATTGAACTGAAATATTATTATTATAAACAATAAAAATTACAAAGTGCTGTAAAATGCTACAAATCTACGTAGGTTCCAATTGCATTAGAGTAGTACTTTAATAAATAAAGAAATTAGTATCTAGTAGTAGTATTTGAAATGAAGTATCAAAAAAGAAAAAGAAAAAAAAAGTAGCCCTTTTAATTTAAGAAAACAATGAATTAAGTTTGAAGTAAAGCATAATGATATACATTATTGACTTGTCCGTTTCATATCGCTTTTATACACACGTACAAATTTTTTAGGCATTAACTGGGGCTTTTTGAAAAGTGGTCATATCATAGCTAGTGACGGTGCCTCTGTTTGTACTGTTTCACCTCATACCTTTCAACAACCATCTTCTTTAAAGTTTGGCTTCTTGCCCACCTCATTATTCGTACAAGTAAATTTATTTTGTGAATTTAGTACTAGTATCATAATAGTATGATATTTTTTTACATCATCAATGGAGTATTATTATATATTTTCTCAAATCTTTAATACCACTATCCCCTTAGATTTTTTTTCCAACGTTTCACATTAATCCTAAATCTTAACCACAAAAATCTCAAATTTTGACCGCTATCCATCCACAATACTAACTTTTTCCCCCCTTTTCTCACTCACTCACTCCCTCTATCTCTTTCTCTTCTCTCAAAACTCAGCAGTCCCTCTCCCATGGCTACCCCACGCTGATCTTTTTAGTGGAAACGTGAGCTGAAGCCGCCTCTCTTTTAGAGATGCATCGATAAAGAGACCAACCCTTTTCTCTCCTCCCTCCTTTCTCCCTTCCCTTTTCTTCCTTTGCTCTCTCTCTCTCTCTCTCTCCAACTCTCTAACCCTAATTCTACCGCCAATACATGACGGGTTGAAGGTTCAAAGTTGAGCAGAGATCTTTTCTTTTTCGTCAGCAACAGTTAATTTCTTGATTTATGGTTGGTTCTTGGTTCAAAGACAAGAGAAAAAGAAAAGTATGTTCAAAAGGCCTGGCTCGTGTGCTGCAGATCAGAGCTTTAAAGACATGGTTGGTACTTTCTGAACTAAATATCTCTCTTCGACAAAGAAATCTTGATCTCTTTATTTCATCCTTGCTGCAGCAGCTATAGCTACTCTTAAATATGAGTTGGTTGTAACTTGTAGTATAACTTGTAAGGAAGTTATAAGTCTGCCCAAAAAAATCTCTCTCCATATCTCTGTCCCTGTCTCCCCCCACCCCCTACGTTAGATTATTTTTTGGTTTGTTCATTGTTTCGTTGCTTCTTCTCCTTTTCCTCTCCTTTCCTTTTTTTGGTTCTTGTTTCTAGAATTCAGAACTCTCTCTGCAGAGAGACAAAATGGATTCTGGAAACAGTGGAAGTCTTCAGTCATCAAGTGGTGATGAAGAGTACGATTCACGCGCCGATTCCATCTCGGCAGCTCTCATGACTTCCCACCACCACAACCACCCTACTCCGCCACCAGCGGCACCACCACTGAACCCAACAAACACTTCCTCCATCTTTGACTCTCTGTCTAACTATTTCGACCCCATTTCACGGCCACCACAGAATCCTGACTCATCCCTCCTCAATCTGGAGATGTCCTGGTCTACAGCCCTAAGATCCAACCCAAATTTGTCTGATATCAATCCCAACATGGTTTCTGCATCTTCAATCCAATCCCTTTTTGGCTCAAACCAACAGCAACAAGGTTCTTTCGCCACTACTACCCCATCTGTGTCAATCCCTTCATCCGTGCAAGAGAATACCAGTGCTACAAATACACCTAGACAACAAGCAGCACCAGAGCAAAATAATCAAGCCCAAGTGGCACGTAATCCAAAGAAGCGATCAAGAGCATCGAGGCGGGCGCCAACAACTGTACTCACCACTGATACCACCAACTTCAGAGCCATGGTCCAAGAATTTACAGGCATCCCAGCTCCACCCTTTACATCTTCTTCACCGTTTCAAAGACCAAGACTTGATCTTTATGGTACCAGTCCTTCTAGCATGAGATCTAATAACCTTATAGACTCATCACAACTACAGCCACCTTATCTTCGTAGGCCTTTTCCTCAAAAAGTTCAACTGCCTCCACCTTTTCTGGCTTCATCGGCTTCATCATGTTCTTCTCTGTTGAATTCATCCTTAGTTGATCATGCTGCAATAGCTTCACCAAATAGTACTAGTACTAACAACAACAACACTTCTGGATTAAACATTAGTACTTCCACTAATCCTACTTTCCAACTCCCTCTCCAAAGTGCAAATCTTTTCAACTTGCCAACCCCAATTCTCACTTCACTTCTTCAATCTAACCATGTCAAGTATCAGCCTTCCAATTGCCCCGTTATCGGATCAAAAACAGCCCAAAGTTTAGATGAATTTGGCTTAGGCCAGGGTCATGTCAACACAAGTTCTTTAAGTGGGCTTCCGGGGCTCATTTCTTCCGATCAAACGACGTCGAGGAATGGTAACAATCCGGTTAACTGGGGAAGTTCGAGTGCTGGGGTCGGTTCGAACGATGGAGGAGGTGATCAAGGTCATCAGAGCAGGTCTGGAAATGGAAACTTTAGTTTGTCAAGAAGTGTTAACGGTGCTGGAAATGGGAAGCTGAGTTACTCCGGTTCTTCCTCCGGTTTTCACGGGGAGAAAGGGTCGTCGGAAAATGTAGCTGTGGCGGTTGCACCACCACCAGCAAGAGGGGAAGGTATGATGGAATCTTGGATATGTTCTTCAGACTAGAAATGATTACAGTGTTAGAAAGTTTGGAGATAATGATGGTGATTAGTTTGATGATGACCATTACTATGATGATAAGGAGGAAAAAAAAAAAAGAGACAAGACATGGGAAAAGATATTAATTAGTACTACTACTAGTGTTGTCTTCAATGATCTTAACCATGACTTTCACCAAAGCTTAGAGCAGTGTAGTTTGGTCTAAATTATGTGTAAATAATAGTTTTCCTTTTTCGGTCCTTGATGATGGTATATAGTATATATCAATCACTGACCATACATTATACATAAATAGTAGTAGGGATAGGTAGAGCTGATGATGATGTTGATTATGATCTTGATCATGGACCTTTATTTTGTTTGTATTCTTGTTAATGTCGGTTGATTTTTAATTTCTTCCCATAGTAAAATCCTCTACTCCTCCTACTAAACTATTGTTCTGGATTGGGTTTGACTGCTTCAATGGGAAATGTGTGAATACGTGCTACATCAAGTGAGGAAAGAAAATAATCAAACCCCATTGAACTGTGTGAATATGTGCCATAAATTTCTTCCTCGTACCTTCTATTCTCTTATCGTGTTTATATACACTTTTTCTATCTTCCACATTATGTACATGGACCTTGGAGATGTAAAATTGGCTACAAATTACTGCTATATGTTGAGAATGAGGCAAGTGGCCTCCTGAGTTTTTTTTTTGTCTGGCATGTTTCTTGTACTAGCTTGACGTATTCTTTGAAAAGAGATTACTATTACTTTTATCCGGTTTTTGTTTTCTTATGGACCTAAAAAATATGTTGGGAGATACGTAGGAGTGATTGATGGCGAGATTTGGGGAATCGTTAGGCGCCGCCATCTCATGTTTGAAACTTATAGTAGAATTTATTAATTTTCCATAGATAAAAGCACTAATTTTGTAAATTATTAAAGCATGATTATTAATTCCAGCGTCGTGTCTTTGGCCTTGTCCTTTTTCTTTCTTTCTTTTTGTTTTTTGTTTTTTGTTTGTTCAGGTTGTAGGTATCAAGACTTTTAAAGATGGACCATTGACCACGCAACTGGACAATTAATTCCTAATCCCAATGTTATTACACTATTACATGCTAGTACGAAGTGAGCCAAATTTATTAATGGATGAATGAATATAGTAGCTTAGGACAACTGTTGATTAGTGAACAGAAGATTTCCTGATCAGGAAAGAAGATCACTTTTAGACCATAAGTATTACTATTATTATTCATCTGCTCCAAAAGACGTTGGCCTTTGTCATTAAGAAAAAGAATCTTCACCCATGGTTCAAAAAATTACAAAGTTGCCTAAATAACTACTATACACGAGTAGTCGCCTTTTTTGACCTTAAATACGAGTTAAGGCTTCGTTTGGTTCATCCAAGTTAGGACGGGTGCTTTTACGTAAATTTTTACTGTAGCACTTTTCGAGTAAAAGACTAAAAGATAAATAGAAAACGTGTTTAGAAAAAAAAATTTTGTTTTCTTTTGAAGAAAAAGCATGGGTTTGGTTTTAAAGAACTCCACCGTACAACTTGCATCACAATTAACTGCTTCTTGCTTGGTGGTGCTCTTTAGTTCTCTTTGAAAAGCAAAAGGTGGAAGAAGAAGGAAGGCTGTGGGAATTATAGTGGATCTGATTAACATGCTGGAAACCATTGTTTGAGGATGACAGAAATTTGCTTTGAAGTGGGGTGTAAGTCTTTTTAAGTTGACTTCTGAAAGTAGGGTTATCGCTCATCCCTTCAAGCTTTCAAGTTTCATGCTAGATATATACCTTTTCTTGATTATGTTTGGCTGTAAAAAAAAAAAAAAATTTACTTGGTTTAGTTGTTTATGACATGAAAACTATTGATCATGATTAGGGATCAAATAAATTTATGGCTTGAGAGCAAAACATATAATAATAAATGTACAGGATTAATTGCGCATACCTCGTTAGAGGAAGGAGAAAAAAAGAAGAAGAAGAAGAGGTTCTTATGGAGAGATATTGTGATCCTTCTGTCGAAGCTTTGGCTTTGGTTGATCCTCTCAACTGGCAGTTGTACGAATGTTGTATTCTTCGTTCATCCATCTCTCCTTATTTCTACCTTTTCGGCTTTCCCGACAACATATTAAGGTTTAAGGTTGCGTTGGGATGGCGCAGAACAAATATTGTGAGATCAGAAATGTGGCAAGTACTACTATTTGTTTTTTTTTTTTTCTTTTTCTCTTTTTGTTTGGTTTGAAAGTACTACTACTAGTGTATTGTTATTATTATTATTTTTTCCTGCTACAAAAAAGGTACTACGACTACCATTATGGATCCATGTATCAATACAGATGGATGGATGTATCCATCATCATCATCATCATCCACAGCCATACCATAACTAGTTATTATATATGGTGGTGATCTGATCAGTTCAGTTTCTGCATGGTTGCAAAAATCAACATAGAACATTGAAAAGTCCAAAAATGATAGTACAATTTTGGGGGATGGCTACGCAAGTTACACAATATTAGCAAGTTACAAGTCGGCATCTTAGTCAAGATAACAAAGTTGGCGTCTCCTATTTTGCTTGCAATGTGGGCATGGGCAAGAGAACATTTCTCTTTTTTCTAGGCACACTTTCGGACCCCATTCCCTTCCTTCTTGGCCCCTAACTGAGATTTCTGGTGTAACTTGTCTGTGTGGCAATGGAGCCAGATGCATGCATGGTAAGCCACCAATTTCTGGTTTTCCTCTTTTTTGCTTTTCATTTTCTTGGTGTCAGACAGGATTGAAGGGGGTGATGTTGCATGTTGGAGTGAGGATGCCATACCACGTTTCATTTTTTTTTTCACAGCAAAGTGGAAATGATTAGTCAAAAAGAGGGGTAATTGATGAGGATTAAATTTTGATTTAATTCTGCTTTAAATGAATTGGATATACACCGCCTAGTGGAGTGGAGGGCATATTTTAGAAACTGAAAATGCTCTATTTATCCGAGTAGTTAAAAGTTATTTCTATTTAAGTACCACCATACCCTAATAATACTCAAAAAACTCTTTAAGAGATTATTGTCAATGCTCCCAAAAAAATTTTCTAAACAAAAAGAAAAGAAGGTAAGATTAAATTTTAATCTATTCTTAGAGTTATCACACTGATTAAGAACGGTTGGATTACAGCAGTGTTTACCCATCTCCTGAATGTATGATGCAGAACCGTCAAGCCATTTCTACAGGAAAATATGGGCTTCGAATCTTCTGTCCTCAAATTAGTCTCTATCCCCTTTGTCCCTTTTTTGTACAATTGCCACATGTCTCTTAACTTTTTGATAACCCAAATTCAAACAAACTGATAATAATTGATTGACAAGTTTACTCAAAACTAATTAAAACATATAACTCAAATTAAAGTACTTGTTAGGATTTAAGAAAAAAATGATTTGGGATAAAAAATAAAGAAGGGTTTTAGTTGATTTCTACGTTTATGACCAACAAGACTATTTTTTGTTAAAATAAAAAAAAAAATTGAGTTATCTGTTTTAATTGATTTTGAGTAAACTTGTCAATTAATTATTATCGATTTGTTTGACTTTGAATTATCAAAAAGTTAGAGACACATGACAGCTGTATAAAGAAGGGACAGAGAGGATAGAGACTAATTTAGGGACAGAAGATTCGAAGCCAAAAATATGACTTCGTACTGCAAAAGACAATAATTGGTTTGAATCTCTTGGATGAATTCGCAAGCAAAAACGAAGAATCTTCTTTATTAGGGTTGATGTGGTTGCGTCTCTTGCAAAATCACGGATCAATTCAAAAGAGATTAAAGATCAAATCACAATGTTGCATCACATGTATCATTTCTGCCATAAGCTATGAATATTTACACCATACATTAGCACTAAAAAGCTTGTGCTTGAAATCAAGCAAAACAAACACCACTAAGCTAATCCAAAATATTTCAAGGCGAGCAAGAGTGAGGGCAAAAATAAATCAGAACAACGTAGTAATTTTCGGGGACGAACCTGTTTGGATTGTTATTTTTAAGAGTTCTTGTTCAAAAATGTACTACTATATCGATTTGATGTACGCGAAGTAAAAAGGTAATTGAGAAATATATTCTCGAAAAACATTAAAAAAAAATTCTATAGAAAAATATACTATAACGCTCTGTAACAAGGGTTTTTGTACAGCTTTGAATTGTCGCTCGCATGCATGCATGTAGTGAAACTATTCATCTAACATGTCAATTAGGCCAGCCAGCCCTAGAAAAAAAGAAAAAGGGGGGACGACAAAAGTTATATAAACAAAAGGCGGGAAAGATCAATTAAGAAGTGCGCAATCTAACTTTGCATCATTGTCATTTTTATCTCAAAGGCGGTAATCTTTTCGGTATCATTGATTGATTGATATATCATCAACTTTTTTGGTTTTTAGCTGTTAGAGATCTCAGATCCCCCCTCCATCCCTTTTTGTTTAAAATTTGAAATTATCAAAAAGAGAGAAAGACACACTTACTAGCTAGTAGTATCATCTCAAATTTAATTTGAATCATTTGAATGATGATGGGGACCTATGATTCCATTGGATTTGGGGAATAGCTTTCAGAAAAAAGGGCTTTCAAGTTTCGACGAAAGCCAGAAAAAGCATCATATTTTTTCATTTCTTTGTAAATAAGTTCTTTCTACGTGATTTTTATTTACTATTTTTCTTGTCTCTTTTCACTTGGATTGCATTTGCATTTTAGGGCCAGGAGGCCTTTCGTGAAAAGGCTTTGCTGCATGTGACACATTTTGGATCTGGAATCATTGTGGCCCATGATGGTTAATAACGCGTGGGCCTAGAGTAATGATGGCCGCATTTCCTCTGTCCTTAATTCTTTTTATTTATCTTTTGATGTAGTCCTCTAGCACCTAGTATTTCCATTCATAAATTACTATTTACTCTGCATTCAATCTCTCAATTACAGCTCCCCAAAAAAAAAAAAAAAGTCTCTCATTTACAGTAAAAGAGAGAAAAGTATGTTTGGTAATATCAAAACCTTGAACACATTTGGTCAATTTGGAAAAAAAAAAAAACAGAGGTTGAGATTTGGGAAGCAAAACTATAGTAAAGATACATACTAAGTGGACACCCTCACATTTTGGTCAAAAGCTTGGGACTTGGGAGGCAAAGCCTATAGCTTATAACGACATAAATGATAATTTTTAACATTTTAAGGGGATATAAAAGCATTTCTAAAATCTTGGGATGCAAACTCTAATTTCTACAATATATATAATTAAAAACATTTATTTTTTTAAAGAGATATAGAAGGTTATTTAGAATCTTGGCTGTGGTCGCCCCTACACATCCCCCAAATAATTTTAGGCATTAGAAAGAGATATTTGTTGAACAGAATATGAAAAAAAATCAAGCTTGGCCACTGAGCT